GAGCTGGGAGCTGCCACTGCAGCTGTGGAAAGCGTGGCGCGAGAAGATGGAGGAGGTGCTGGAGGCACGGTTGCAGCGTTCACAGCCGTGGGCCGTTTCGCCGTACCGGCACACCATGTAGCTGTTGTAGGCTGGGGAGTCGGCCAGGTCCATGAGCATGGCCTCCGAGTAGCTGGGGATCAGCTGCCGGTTGGTGCAGATGTGCCACTCCAGCTCGGTGCTGTCCTGCGTGGCGTCTCGGGGCATGCGGTACCGGTACAAGGGCTCCTCCGCCGCCACGGGTGCTGTGTACTCCAGGCCCAGCAGCTTCTCCACATGGTAGTGAACATAAGCAGTCCGATACTCTATGAGTACCCTGAGCGGCCAGGAGATCATCAGGATAGCTGCCACCCAGAACGCATAGTGGGACACGTACCACGGGAGGTGATCCGGGTCCCCGTAGGCCATCATAAGCTCTTTAAAGTCTACGTTTTTGAGCTGCATGCCTTCCCTCACCTCCATGTAGTCATCCAGCCCCTCAATCTCTGTGAAGAAGTGAGCCCTCTGAGTCAGGTAAGAGTTCTCAGACTCAATGTTGGCAAAGCTGAAGCACTTGGTGAACCTCAGCTTGGTGGCTGTATGGCTCTCCAGGCCCAGGAGCTCCTTGGAGATGTCCTTGTATCCACAGTGAGAGTAGTCAAACTCAGCTTCAGCCACGTGGGTGTTGACCCTCTCGTGGTAGACTTGTGTGGTGGTGTAGGCATCGCCATTGCGGTACCGGGTCACCTGCCGGGTTCGCCGCACAAAGTGGTAGCTGATGGCTTTCCACCAGATGCACGGAGTGGCTTGCTGCATGCGGTTGATGCATTCATAGACACTGTCCACATCTGCCTTGTACTGCAGCTCTCTCTTCACGTGGCAGTGCCAGCACTCCACCAGGTACACCACGTACAGCATAGAGAGGAAGGCCAGCGGGATATAGACATAGCCGTCCGAGCATGGGCTGTCATGATAGATCATGGACTTGCCCTTGAAGGAGCTGTCAAAACTGAGCTTGGTGATCCGGGCCAGCTGACACCAGGTCACTGCACCCAGGCAGCCATACATGAGGATGGAGAGGAGGAGGCATTTCCAGTGGGACTCCCGGCACATGCAGGCACTCAGGGACTGCTTCACGGGGCGTTGCTGCAGTCACAGCACCAGGGAGGGGGAGAGAAAGACAAAGAGAGAGCGAGGAACCTGTCAGTCACGCCACTTTGCACAATGTACACGGTGACTGCTGCCTTCAAGACTGCATCTGGCTTTGCTCTCCACTGCCTGAGGACTGGGACACCACCCTACTTAATATAACTGTGAATATAAACTTAAACACTGTGCCAGGGACAGAGGTCTCTGGACAAAACTTCTCCCTTGCTTTCTCCTGGTTCCCGACTGTGCCCACCCCCTGCTTGGAGAAGCCCCTCCACACAGGGTGAGATGGGTCACCATCTCCTTCTCCCTGCCTGGAGCCAGCATCATCTATGAACCCCGCCATCCTCCGAGGCTGAGAGGGCTTCGTGGCACACGAACAGCCGAAAGCGCGGGGCTGTGGACTTGCCCCTTTGCTTCACGAGTTCCCAGTGCCTGGGATCCCACATGGTGCTGCTGGGGAGGCTCGGGAGCAGCGTCCGTCGCCGGGCCGCAGCTCCATGGGCCGTGCCAGCACAGGGGGACCAGCGCTTCATGGAGCTGGAGCTGCTGCCTGACTCAGAGCTGACTCACACCCAACACTGAAACCTACCAAATGATCGACACCATTCTTCTTGGAGGTGAGCCATCAGGAAAATTACTAGATTCAAGCACATTTAGTTGAAAAAATTGTCAGGATTACAGCACAGTGCAGCATAGCTTCAGGCTGGTTAGGAGACTAGCTCTGACCTAAAATACCTGAAAGCTGAAGCATTGGAGCTTAGGGTGTATGCGTGAATATTTAAAATGCAGCACATCCCTCTCTCTGAAGTCCCAAAAGTCAGGCTGGGAGTAGAGCCTGAGTTCGCACTCCTGTACTCCCACTGTGCCCTGAGATGGTGTGATTGAAGCCCTTACCCCAGCCATGGTGCAGTGAATCAGCTGCATTGTCATGCTACGCTGGGCCATAATAAAAAATGCCAAATCGAGCCAAGCAGCTAGTGGAAACGAAGTTGTCTCCCCGCAAAGAGCAGCAGCAGCATGAGTTACGTTACTGGCTGGCAGCCGCCTGCCTGCAGAAAGTGCATGAAGCAAGACCCCTCACTGCCCTGGTAGGTCATGTGGGGGCTGTCTGCATCCTTCCTGTTACTGCCATCCTCTGCCTCCCCCCTAACTCTGAGGAAATGACAGTGAGAAAGCAGATACACACTGATATTCATGCATCATCATGCCCTCTGCTGAGCCTGATTTCATGCAAAAATAGAAGCACACTGTTACTCCTTCTCCCAAGGGGCCACCTCTAATGCATCAAACTGCTCCGTAGATGCCAACAGATGCTAGGTTTGGGAAATTTCTTCTCTTTCCTTCTCCAGGGACAAAGTTCTCCCCTAATATAGCTTACCTTGGACCCACAGCAGTCAAGATTCAGTAAGTAATGCTGAACCAGCAAGGAATTTAAGGACCAGAGGACCAGCTTCTTACGCCTCAGGAAATAATAGCGCAGCACCACTAAAAAGAAGAATTCACTGTCTTCTCAACGAGATGTAAGCATTGGCGTCTAACCTTGCAGGGCTGCAAGGTCAGATTTAATACTGCTTTTTTTTTTTTTTCCTGGGACAGAACAGCTTCTAACTATGGAGTGTTTGCCGGCTTGCTGCGAGCACTGCCAAACTAGATTTCATGGGCTTTGGTTTGGATTTCGTAGCTTCTAATCTGACAATGTGTAAGTGTAGAGTAATTTTATAGATTTTAGGGAGCTACACCAGTATTCATCTGCAGGGATAAATGGCAGAATCTGGCCCCTGATTCTTCCTGATGCATGCAGAAGGAATCTCTAAAGAATTGCTATTCTTATCCTAAACCTTTCGTATGTGTGTATGTGTCAGAATAAAAAATAATTATTCTGGGCTGTATTCTCTTTCCAGTGCCCAAAATGGGTGTAAAGAAGCTAAGTGCGTTATAAAGATGGTGTTGGGTTGACGGTTGGACTTGATGATCTTAGAGGTCTTTTCCAACCTATGATTCTACGATTCTATGATTCTATGGCACACAGTACATAACTTTTCTGTGGGTAAGGCAGTGAAAACACCTTAGTTTGGGTAAGAATAAGGCTGTTTTCCTTACCTTGAGGAAAGCCAAAAAGTGACTTCAGGCAGCCCCCAAATCAGCTGAAAAATAATTACGGGACTTTTGGGAAGGCATCCCTGAGTCTACGTGTGGTCATGGAGAGTTTAATCTCTTGAAACTCTTGTCAAATACCCACTGCTCTGTCCCAGTGTGGTTACTGCCCCAGTGTAGGCTTCAGCCCCAGCCACACACTGGATGTCAGGTCAGAGCCCCGGGCTCTCCCAGCTCGTGGGAACTCCAGTAGAAAGCATTGTCTTCTCTTCTTTGTCTCTTTTTAACACAGAACTAGAGACTTAAGTGCTACAGTAATGCAAAAATATGGACTGCAATGAAGAATTACAAAACTCTACCCCTTCTTTTCCCTGAAGGTCTTCTGAGATGAAGGAAACTCTAAAAATTCACATCTCTCTACTCCAGTCACTGGGACTGTGCAGAAGAAAACAGCCGGGCAATATTCTAACACCGGGATTTAAGTTCACACCCAGGTTTCCACAGGCAGCTCTCATGTAAAATCGCGTATGGTTTATACTGTGAAGAATGCCAGTGGACCCAGCAAAAGATGTCCAGCAGTCAGTTTTAATGTAAGGTGAGTGCTTAAGAACTCCATGCAGCTCCAGGAACCCCGATTTTTCCCATGACTTGTTTGAAGCACTGTCAGCCTGGCCCTGGGCAGAGCCATGCGAGAGAGCTGTCCCACGTCAGCTAAGGCTCTGTTTGCCAAAGGCACTGCAATCTCCACCTTCCCTTTATCTCAATTCCCTTGACTAACAACTCCTCTGCTCTCTGCAGCTCTGTGGTCCAACCTACAACCCACAGGCTGGCTTCTGCCCAAGGAGTGATTCAACCAGCACTGCTGGTTAGGGCTATCAGTGGCCATATCGGAGCGGGCAAATGCCTCCTACTGTGCTTAGCTCCGTGAAACGCTACCTCCCCTCTGGGGGAAGAGATGGCTCTGGTCTCACCAGTCCTGGACCAGCACTGGGCTGGGCTGGCAGCAGCTCAGAGGCTTGTAGGTCCAAGATGACATTTCTGTATGTGTCCTCTGCAACACTTCAAAAATGGTCATCAATCCACTGCACTGAAAGGGCTGGATCAGCCCGAGCCAGGTTACCGCCACCATTCTCACTGCAGCCTGTAGAAAAGGCAGCTTCTCTCCTCCTTGGATTAGTGAAGACATGAAGCTCTAGAGCCCACTGCCACATCTCTCTGATTCACATACCTACCAGTCCAGTTCAG